AAGGATCAGTATCCATCCATCAGAAAAAAAAATGTACAGCTTTCCAAAGTGTATTCTTTTATGAAGAAATGAAATAATATTCATATCTAGCTTGAATAAATAATCAAAAACCTATTAAGTAGAGCTCTGGGAATCATGATAGTCAACTGCAAATTTTAGTGCATAAAATTATAATTAATTATAAAGGCATAAAGTCTTAATTATATTTTCAGTATGTATGTATGTATGCATATATGTATGATTGTATGTTCTGAAATAGGATCTCACCATGTAACCCCAGCCTGGCCTTGGGGCTTATACAAGTTCTATATACACAGAACTTGCTATGTAGCCCAAGCTAGCCTCAAGCTCCAGATCCTTCTGTGTCAGTCCCCCATGTGTTGAGATTACAGGTGCATGCCTGCACATTCAGATATTTATTTTTGTGATGCTGAGGATCAAACTGAAATGACTTTTTTGTGTGTATGTGGTGCTGGGAATTGAACTCATGGTCTTGTACATGCTCAGTATGAGCTCTACCACAAAGCTACACACCTTACCCAAGTTAAATAGATGTAGTAGACAAAAGCTTCTGGTTTTTCCCCTTTTTTTAATGGGGGGAAAAAGTATGTATTTACAATTAACCAACTGGACTCAGTTTAGATGATTCCAATGTTGTTGGCAACATCCAATGCATCATAGTTAGGAGCCAGTTGAATATATGCCTGCTTCTCTCCATCAGGCCTGATTAGGGGATTGACCTTGGCAACATCGATGTCATAGAGCTTCTTTATAGCTTGTATTATTTGGTGCTTATTGGCTCTGACATCCACAATGAACACAAGTGTGTTGTCCTCAATCTTTTTCATGCCTGATTCTGTGGTCGGGGGAACCTGATGATGGCATAGTGGTCAAGCTTGTTTCTCCTGGGGGTGCTCTTCCGAGGGTATTTGGGCTGCCTCTGGAGCTGCAGTGTCTTGGGATGGCAGAAGGTGGGTACCGTTCTTATCTTTTTGTGGCTGTGGATGCCTTTGAGCATGGGCTTCTTGGCCTTCAAAGCTTTTACTTTCGCTTCAGCTTTAGGAGGGGCAAGGGCTTCCTTCTTTGCCTTTGGTGCCATCTTGGTAAAAAAAAAAAAAAACAAAAAAAAAACCTTTCTTTTTTCCTTTTTGAGACAGGATTTCACTATGCAGTTCAGGCTGGCCTCAAACTCACTTTGTAGCCCAGGCAGGCCTTGAACTCACAGGGATTCTCCTGCCTCCCTCTCCTAAGTTCTGGGATTACAGGTTTGCACCACTACACCCAGCTAAAGCTGTTGCTTATATAACTAATTTTCACAAATTTTATTTTCTCACTAAAGAGCCCTATTTCCCTCATCTCTAAAACTATGACAAAACATTTATTGCCTGTTACTTAAAAGTTTCAAGGCTGGGGAGATAGCTCAGTAGAATAAGCGCCTGCCTGGCAAGCGCAGGGTCCTGATTTCAATCCCCAGAACTGCAAAAAAAAAAAAAAAAAAAAATGCTTTTGGGGCTGGTGAGATGGCTCAGTGGTCTAAAGCACCTACTTAGAACAAGCTTAGTCAAAGCCCAGGGACCACGGTTCAATCCCCCAGCACCACATGCCAGCCAGCCCGCCCCCTGGTGGGCTGAGCTGGACACACACACACACACACACACACACACACACACACACATAAATAATATTAAAAAAAAATAGATGCTTTCATTAGTTTTATAACAGGCATTATTACTGATAGACTGATGTTTATTTTCCACGATTTATAATCCTTTTCTTTATAATTTTTAGTGTTATTGACACACTAAGAATTAAGGGTATTGTAATGGGCACAACTGAAGTCAGTATTTAAGATAAACAGTTCTTTTTAAATTTACATATATTAAGCAAACGTAATTCCCATTAAGGTAGGCTTTACATTTGCAATTATGCATACACACCTTGTGTTTTCGATGAAGTACACAGACAGAATGTTCATAAAATAATTAACATTTTAGAAATAAATGACAATGCACAGTATCAGGTTAGAAGGCAAACTGACCTTAGTGTCTGTCACAAATTGTATGGTGTATATTACTTGTGTCATAGATTGAAATAGGAAAATGAGATAAAGGTACATCTCACTGGTAAGAGTTTTTTCCTGGAATGCACAGAACTGAGTTTAATATATGGAAGGAAGGGAGAAAAGAAGGGAGGGAGGGAGAAACAGGAAAAGAAAAAAAAATTACCACTTTGCTTTTATTTTAACAATATATTCCCCCCAAAATTGACAAAGATGGAACGAACTACAATATCAGTCATAAAATTCTGCTGTGTCTTAAGATCTGACTTGTGAGGATAAGTTATTTTACTAGAAAGTTAGAAAAACTTAAAATATTGTACCACTTTAAAAGTATATTGTGGGCCGGGGAGATGGCTCAGTGGAATAAGCGCTTCCCTGGCAAGCTCAAGGGCCTGAGTTCAATCCTTGGTTCCGGCAAAAAAAAAAAAAAAGTATATTGATAATTATTCCTTCAAGCAACATATTATTCTTTCAAAACCTGATAATTCATCTTAAAATTCACGTAATTTATTAAAAACCTTACTTTTCTGTTAATATTGAAAGCACTTAGTGATTAAAAAAGAATTAAATAATTCTAACAAATAGTTGCAATAACATTTTTATCCTACAAATATGAGACAAAGTGCTCTAACTTATTAGGCCACAAATGCTTTATTAAATAACAATTACTGGGCCAGGAAGATAGTTCTGTGTCATAAAAGCCTGCCTGGCAAGTACAAGGATCATGAGTTCAATCTCTGGTATAAAAAAACAAAGCCAAACCCACCCAGTTACTAATTACAATCTAAAATTCCAAATGCAAGGACTGGCCAAATAGCTCAGTGGATTAAAGTGCCTGCTTAGGCAGATGCAGGGGCTGGAGTTCGATCCCCGGGGGCATGCTGAGAATGCAATTGAGACTGGGCATGGTGACATGTGCCTGTAATCCCAGCACTTGGGAAGCTGTAAACAGGAGGATCATTACGAGTCCGATCTACGCAGTGACACCCTGTACACCCTGTTCTAAATACAAAAAAATCATAAAATTCTAAATGCAACTTAATATGTTTTTCCAGTGGGCCAGGGATATAGCTCAGCGACATACGCACCTGCCTTGCAAGCACAAGGTCGTGAGTTCAATCCCTGGTACCACAAAAAATAAAATAAAATAAAATAAAATA